GTGTACATTTCTTTTCAACTCAGGGCCAATTATCATCCTTTGATTTATGTTTTATTCGAGCTGTGACTGCATGGTGTCCCCACAAAGCTTTGAATATTATCACTTTGAATATCATGGCTCTCAGGAAGAGGAAGGAAGCAGGCTCTTGTGATAGCTAGATTAGGGTTCCGGGTTTATACGTAACTAGTAGTCATAAAGCCCACAAAATAGAGACAAGTATGTCAGCAATGGAGTAGATAGAGATAAACATGAGAACCCTCATGAAAATGACAATTTCTTTTGGTAGTGCTGAGGAGCTAACCCAGAGCCTTGCCCCTGCTAGACAAGTGCTCTGCCACTGAGCTATACCCTCAGCCTCAGATTTGATGATTTTTAATTATAATTCTCTTCGTTTAATTGTTTTCGAGTAGGTCTGTGGTTTCTGAATTCGCAGTTTCAGGTACAAGTATGTATATCGTAGAAACTGGCCGTACCTGATAACATCAAGGAAACGATACTTCAGACTCGAAGGCTCAGATTTTATTGGCCTGATGCACATAGGATGACTACAATTTTCATATTTGTTTTTAAGCCACAGAAGGGTAAACAAAGTCTAGCCTCTGGTAGTACTTTTTCTGGTATTGGGTCCTATGGGAATTTACTAGCCTGATTTATGGCCCTAGGCCAGCACTGATAGGAAGTCTAGAGAAGAATTTTTATTCTGCATTTTCCCAGAATACTTGTTGACTCAATCAGCAGCTTTGAAGTGTTACAGGAGTCTTTGTGTCCCCCAGAGTCCAATGATATGGGGACATTAGACCAATGAGGGTCACTGTTTCTGGGAATGCAATGTTGGTTCTTGGACCTTACATACTTTTCTCATGAACTTGTAAAAAAAGAGTTAACACAAACTCCACAACTGATGTTAGGAGGGAATGAACATATGCTCTGTAGTTCCCTCTGGAAGCATTTTAAGCATTTAACCTTTCAGAAAACAGTCATTTCTTTTTGAAGACCATGGCTTCAAATACCCTTCCCTCCTGGCTGGAACTGACTACTGATTTTTAAGGAAATCGCCCTTACAATGTTGGTGCTTGCAAGACTGTCTGATATATAATTATTTGAAATTATATACAGTAAAGTTATTTGAAAGATTAAATTCAGACACTAACAGCCAAGTGTCTCCTGCTCTTAGGGTTGTTACTGACAGAGCCACATAGTCAGAGTGTCTGACGTGCCTACCAGGGGCAAAATAACTACCAATGTCCTTTAACCCAGTGACTACAAACAGCAAAGTGGTCACACATGTGCCAGTCCACCCCCTTTAAATGTGGATCATTTGTTTTTGACATTTCAGATGTGACTCTTGTGCTAGAATGCCAGCTGTGTAACAATTCTCAGCAGTCCCACAGTGAAAGAAGTTAGCACTATATAGAAAAGTTAAATGACCTAGCTTATGTGCAGGAATTATATGTAACCTGGATTGGTTTTCCTGTGGTTAAAATGAGTTGCTTCTTGTGAAGATTAAATGAGATATTTCATGCAAAATGAAATAGTTGATACACATTATCATTAGCAATCACACTAGATATATTGAAGTATGAAGTTTTACATGTTATAGAATAAACACACAAATGTGTCTTATAAAACATAGTCTAAAAAATGTATGCTTTACACTGTCAATGGATAGTCTAAATCCAGAAACTATGTTTTTCCCCTCTCTCAAAATGTGTCTACTACTTAAATATTAGCAATGAAATAGTAAATGTTCTAAGAGTAAAGTAGCAACACTTATCTCCAATCTCACCAGTTCTGTTATTCAGTCTGCCCCCTGATAAGACTGAGGAGAACATGCTGTACTTACAAATACACGGCACCTTTCTTCCTCTTACAATCTTCGGGATTGTGCCAACTCACTGTCACACAATATTTCTGCCAGGAAACTTTGAGTTATTGCTAAAGGGAAGCTTGTGGAACTTTGTTTAAAGTGTGTCATGCATCAGTGATTGTGATTACCTTTTAATTTATATTCTAGCCCCGATAAACCATGCAGCAATACTCAGGATGACGGAGTAAGGCCCCTGATATAACACAGTTACTCAGGCACTGATTGTTGCTAAGGTGATAACAAAGGAAACTGACTCCATGGGGTCTCTTTCTAGGAGTTAAGCTACCAAAGAACAAGGGAAGAGGAAAGGTGCTAAAAACTACACAAAAACTCCTTCCTCAAACCCACAACCAGCCAACTAACCAATCAAACAATTGCCACCACTACAAAACCAACAAGACTCAGATTGCAAAGTAGGCCCTGTGGAAGAGAGGCTCTTTACTCAAACCTCTCACCTGCCACACTGCTGTCACTTGCACAGTCCCAGCCTGAGGGTGGCCACACAACTCCCTGGTGGGGGAAAAGATGAAAAGAATGTCTCTTTCAGGGAGATAGCTTTGTCCTTCTTTCTCCCATTTCCATAGACCTCAGTGGGAGATCAGATTCCCTGTTGTGGATATTGTTTTGTAAAATTTTCACCTTTCTTCTATAAATGAACCTGTATGGTCCAAGATATGACGTCTACTACCCACTCCTGGTCGAAACTGTAGATGCTTTCACTGCATGCCTGATATGTCTCTTAGGAGCTTTGTGTGAATCCCTAACAGTCCCCAGCTGACACGAAGACATAGTCATGTTAGTTGTGTCTTTAGTCATCAACTCCAAATAGTGGCTCTGCAAAGACTGCCATCTGTCCAACAGGAAATGAACTGAAAACACTTCTCGTTCCTACATACCACAAACCACTGGACAACTGGGAATACTCCTGGCTCATTACCACCCTAGAATACTTCTGGACCCATGCGCTCTGATTGACAATCTGTGTATTCCATGTCTTTTTCTCTAATCTATGCCATTCTTTAAGGGCTATGTTCACCCTAGAATACTTCTGGACCCATGCGCTCTGATTGACAATCTGTGTATTCCATGTCTTTTTCTCTAATCTATGCCATTCTTTAAGGGCTATGTTAAGGGTGCATTTATAAAATGATCTCCTTTCCTACTTAACCCTCAGAAGAACTTTTTTGACTCTTCCCTGAGAAAACAATGTAAAATGCACTGCATTCAAGAGACTTCCTATACAGGAAACAAGTAATACAAACAACTGTGTTATATTAGGGATAGATTGCTTTTTCCTTTGTCCTGAATTAATCTCCTAGTTGATTTCCCAAAAAGGCAATACGAGATCAGGCTACACCCTGCAGTAGCATTCCCACCAAGGCCAGAGGAAGATTTTACAGAGTAAAAGCAGAAGAATCAGCCCCATTATTTTTGCAACTGACTTATTTCTCCTCTTTTTGTGTGATGTTTTAGAAATATCTAAGCTTGCAACTTTACAATGTATGGATAAATGCATAGAAAGGAAATTCTGATGTTTGAGAGAAATATAGGAAAAAGTCTTAGATCAGAATAGCTCATACAAGGAAGATTTGTAAAAAACATCCACAATGAACAGATAAAGAAGAAAGTAATATTTTAATAGGATAGTGAAAAAGATAGCAGATCGACAGTGACAGCAGAGAAAGAACAGGAATACAGATATTTTCAGAGGATTAAATTGGCACTGTGTACCCTCAAACCAGGCAAGTTTTTCTAGGAGGCCTCTAAGCGTGTCTCCTCCAAAAAGTAGATGGTTCTCCTGGAGCTGTCATAAATGCTTTGTAGTTCTCTGCATTAATTCATGTTGAATATTTTCCATGGTTGGTCACACTCAGACTTAAAATAGATATGAGAAAGGTCTTCAGATTTACTTTCAGTAACATTATTAACTTCTTAGCCAGCTGGATGATGACATGGTGTGTGACCAATCCAAATTTACAAGGTAACCTTGCCTGAATTATCCTGGTCCATCAAATATAAATAATAAAATAAAGGTGCAAGAATAATATTGCAAGAACGGTGGGAGAAGCACTTGTCAAAAAGCAAAACGAACACAGGAAGAAAATCTACGAGGTCATTCAGACAGGATGTTAATAATCTTGTGTTCTCACCCTACAGTCTCTGGGTACATGGGATTCCTTGTGCCTCACCGTCAGCTCCTGCAGTCAGTAACCCTTCAGGTCCCAAGAGTGTGGTTTCCCAAGGGAAACCAACAGCCCTGTGTACCTTTGTGTGCATCCTCCATTCACATGTTGCTTCATTATTCTGTACTCTACCACTTGCCTCAGCTGAAGAAAACAAATCTATGCTTTCATGGGCAAAGGAGATGTACAGTACTCCCTTAGTTCCTTAAGTACCTGGGAGGAAGGGTGGGATAATTATCTCTAAGGATCATTATCCTTCTTGTACTATCCTATTTACTTTAAATATCTCTTCTGAAGTGAGTTAATACATGTAAAAACATCTGGCCAAAAAACTGACATAATAAGTGCTCGGTAACTATTAAAATCCTCTTTCTTACTCATTTCTTACTACACTGTATACATTCCAACAATCCCCAGTGAAACCTTCTCTGTGATGTCAACTGTTGCCTCTCTAGACTTTTTATTCCCTTAACACTAGTAATAGAACTGAAGCACGACTTAAAAGGGAAATCTCAGTCAATACATGTTATACTTCCACTGCATTTGAACCTTTCACCATGGGAGCACAGCTGTTGTGTTACATAACTGCTGTGTCCTAATGTTTGATAACACTGATCACTGTCTTTCTTGTGGCTAAAGCATAAATCCTAAGTATCCTGCTTACTTAATGTAATAGCACATGTCTATTTCAGGACACTTCAAGATTTTTTTTTAAGTATGCAAAGAACATAAATATGTTTTAAGTCAATCTGAGTTGGATTTTTGACTCATTAAAAATACTATACTCCTTGGACCCAGATTGGGAGGTGACATATCTGAAATTAAGTAAGTTGAGGATTTACTAGGCATTCTCAGGGACTCAAGTGACACTGCAAACAATTCATTTGAAGCAAAGTGGACACTCAGTTTCAGCTACAAGATTACTCTTCCACCATGGATGGTTTCCACACCTGGATTGTGATACCACTTTTCTTGGCTGAGAACTTTGGCCTTGGTGCCGCAAAATAAGAGGACGAGGCAGTGGACTCTTGCTTTGGAGAGGTGGGAACACTCACAGGCACTGGGGATGCACTGACTGGGGAGGTGGCCTCTGCAAAGAAGGTAGACTGAGAGGTGTAGGCCGGTACTGAGTACACAGACGAAGCCTGTACCTTCGTGGGTGAGGTGGCATTCACTGGCCTGGAAGGAAGAGCTTGCTTCATGGCAGGGGCTGAATTGACCTTGACTGATGACTTTGGGGGAAGGCCATCCTTTGCATCTGGAGGCTGGAAAGTAAACAAGGATGCATTGAGCTGATATGGCTGGTGCTTCATGACATCCAAAGCATTGAGGGGTTTCTTGCCCTTTTTCTTGCTCACTTTGGAGGCCTGTGGGCCTGATGACTGAGACTTGATGGCAGCCAGCGGGTAGGAGGGAGAGTGGATAGGATTGTAGGCCACAGGAGGAGGCGCTCGGATGTTGGAGGAATACTTCCAACTGGCTGGTAGGGATGGAGTGGGAGACTGAGCCCTGGCAGTGTGGGCCAGGACAGTGTTGGAATCCACCACATACTTCTCCATTCTCGACTGCCTCTTAGCGAAGAGCTGGGCTCCTTTCCCACTCATTCCGGGAAGCTCGTTGGATGGTCCCATTGCACCAGCATGAGCAGCACTGACTGTTGGTATGGGTGCTGTTGGCTTGGGGATGTAATTCTGACTGGCTACTGCTGCTTGTGGTCCTTTAAAGGGACCAGACAGGTTCAGCACACTTGCAGGCCGGGCAGGAGGGCAAGAAGGCTGAGCTATTTTGATGGAGGAGACCACCGTGCCCTGTGATGGGTTTGATGTGTGGAAGGCAGGAGGTTGGGTTGCAGCTGCTCCTGGAGACCAGACTGGAGAAACCGGAGTAACTGGTTGGGAGGATGAGGACTTGACTGCAGGTTTTGGAGCAACAGGAGGTGGGGTCTTTTGCTTAGCAGAGGAGCTTTGCATGAAGTTACAAGCCTCTGCTCCTAAGCTGAGGTAGTCTTCTTCAGGTCCGGAATCGCCACCAGCTCCAGTGCCCCGTTTGCCTTCTGAATTTTGAAGAAGTGACAAGAGTTCAGGATTTGGGCTTACTTTGGGCTCTTTAAATGTGAACATGGGTTTTGTGGTGCTTCTCCTTTTGGCTTCTTGCAATATCCCTGTTCTTTTTGCTGGCACTGCAATCCTCTCATCCCGGGACGCTATCCTCTCAGTTGCATCATAAAAGGCTGGCTGGGACCATGGAGCAGGCTGAGGCCAGGGAGGGGGCTGTGCTGGGCCAGCAATGGGACTTGATACCCCTCTGGAGAAGGCTTCGGGTGGAGGAGTGACCGCAGAATAAGGTGGAGGAGCAGGGAAGTCAGTGATGGGACTTGGGACGTTGTGGGTCGGCGAGAAGGGAGCTGCTTGCTGGTTTGCAGAGCCAGGGAAGGGCTTGGCCGTTCTGTTCATAGGCATTGGCCTCTGGGCCTCTGCTGTCTCGGATCCTCCACTGAAGCCATTCTGTTGGGGCACCTGGCCAAGACTATGGCCCATGTGGATGTAGCTTTTGCTCACAGAGGTCTGCATTCTCATCGATTCCTCTTCCTTCCTTTGGTATGAAGTCACGGTTTTCAGGCCATCTGTCTGGGCAATCTCCACCTCTCTGCCTGGTGCTCCAGCAACCCTCTCCTCTTCTCTCTGCGCTGTGATCTGATCCATTCTCTCCCTCCTCTTGGCAAACATGAGGGCTCCTTTTCCTGTGGTGTCTGGCAACATCTCCATCTTATCCTCTCTGTTCAGTTTCTTCTCAATGTCCACCAGTCCAGAATCCCAGTCAAAGTTTACTACTTGGGTGTTTTCAATGTCAGACAGCAACTCTTCATCCACTTCTGACTCACTTGTGCCGAGAAATGCCACTTCACATGTAGCCTCTTTGTCACCTTCCTCCTCCTCCTCTTCGTCTGCTTCTCGTTCAAGCTCACCAGTACCGTAGCTGACTAGGGTGTACTTCCTGGCCCTCCGCCGGCGCTTCTTAAACATCAACACCCCCTTGGAGTTGGGGTTGGGGGCATCAGTGAGAAGAAGGGCAATGCTTTTGCATTTAGATTTTGCTTCCTTCACTTGTTTTTCTGATAGGCTTTCACTCCTCCTGAGCCCTAGGGAAAGTACAAAAATCTTATTGAGTTGATAAATTCAAGGAAGACTCCACAGCAACCCAGAAATTGCCTTCCTCTGGGGAAAGATAATATGTAAAAAAGTCTTATAATTGGGTGCTGATGTTTGAAGGAATCCAATTTACTTTCTTTTTCTTTTTTTGATGTTGGGAGTAAACCTGGTGCTTCCTGGAAAGCATGCCCTCTACCACTGAGCTACACCTCTAGTCCCTTATTTTCCTTAAAATTTATACTTCTATAATAATATATAATACACATAACACTATACGATGTCCTCTTCCATTTTTTCATGTAAATGCATTTTTATATATACCAACTAGAATATTTCAAGCATTTATTTCTCTATAGATTTTTACTTTGTAACAAGAAAAGATGATTGGGAAATGCCAGTTAATAGTATATAAATAGGATTAAAAATATATTTTCTGAAAAATGAGATATAATTTGTACTTCTATATTTAAAAAATAAAATGTCTGAGCATCTTACAAAGCAGGAATGTGTTTCTAAGCATGTCATAAAATGAGAATATGTTCCAAGAAAATTAAAAAATTGTTCTATGGATCTTAATGTAAGTACTTAGGTTTTCTTCTTGTTTTTAATTTTTTAAATTTTGTTTTTACTTCAACAACCACCCAAAATCTTTCCATTTACAGCAATGGAATTAATATAAATTCAAATCACTGAATTAATAATTAAAAGTATTGAATTAATAATTAATTATATATCAGAATACTAGATCTTTGTGAATACATGTTACAGGCTCTTTCTACAAAGTTAGCTAGACAAATTTGTTTCTAAATATATTGCTATTTGGAAATATACTGTTTCAATTGCAGTAAGAATATGTGTAAATCTTGGGAAAATTTTAAAATTATGTGACTTGTGACCCTTTTAACTTCTATAAAAACTAGTGCAGTGGTTAGTAATTTTAAATATAAAACAAGAGCTTGGCAGAGATGAAATAACAAAAATTTATATTTAAATTTTTTCTTTTATTATGAAAAATAATTTGGTAGTAAATTAATTTATAACATTAATCATGACCATGTTTTTAATAATGAATATGATTTAAAGTGTTTTTATTCCTTGAGATAGTTAAACAGAAAATTTCTGAAAAAATTAGTATTTTGATTGAAAATTAGCTTTTTTGTCAAAAAAGACTGTAATATTTTTAAAATCAAATATAATCAGAGGAGATAATTTTATAACAAAGTTATAGATACTCACTGGTGATAAAATTTTGTACAAAGAAAAAAGGTGAAAGCATAGCCATTACTAAGTGTGATTCCTTTCTGGACTTAGCATTGTACAACTTATTATTAAATTGACAGTCACAGTTGCCCAGTTGCTGCTAACTCCACACCCAACACAAAGTATGTGAATGCTGTCTTAATACTCTTGTTTAATATGCTATAAATGTGAAGATGGCATACAGATGCTTAAAGTATAAGGAATGATTAACAGCACTTGCCAATAAGGGTACAAATGGTTATTCTAAAAATATGCTTTGGAAGGAACAACAGTGAACTAGAAAAATTAGGACACTAATGTGAATAACTAAGTTCATGGCTGGGCTGCATCCTTCATACATTCAAGGGCCTTTGTCAGCACTTACATCATCAAATGGAATTCCAAAATTTGAAAAAAAATACACATATGCATGAAATAAAAGAACAACAACCCTCACGTCTAACTTTGATTCTTATTCTCATTTCCTTTCTGTCCTCACTGCTCGGGCTAAAACAAAATAGTACCATAAAAAGCCTTGAATTCAAGTACAGCTTATGTTTGGGGACATCTGAATGCCTGCACATGGCCCAAGAGACTGACTTCTGTGTTTAGAAGGTGGACAAAATGCTCTGCGGTTGAGTGAAGACATTTACAACAGAAAGGATCATGTAACTGCTCCGTATCACACATGTCCTTGTCTGTCAAGCTCACTTCTGCAAGCATCATCAAGCTGCAAAGCAACTTTTTTTTCAAAATGAAGATCTGCTTTTAATATCAGTGGTGCAGCCTGTATTTTAAAGGCAGGCACCTCAGCAGCAGACTGAACGAACCACTTTCTCACATTTAAGCTCAGCATCTGCATGACTACCAATATTCTTACAGTATTTAAATATGAAACATTATCATATTCTGAAACAAAAAGGTACATTGATAATATTATTTTCTTTAACAGTCCCTGTACCTTGGGGGATAAAAGAAGTTCATGAAGAAAAAAATTAAATTTACTATGAAGTTCAAACTTATAACTTTCCATTCAGAATCTAGTATTCTTCACAATTTCATGTTTGGCTCTTTTTTGAATTAATTAAATATTTTTAAAAGTTAATAAAAGACAGAAGAAAAATCTTTTTTTAAAATCCATGCAGGCAAATCAGCAGCAAAGTACCCAAAGCCCCCAGACCCCTGAGAGGCAGTCACCAGCCCAGGGCAGGACTTACGTGAGTGCCGCGCTCTGTGCTTGTGTGGTCTGCTGTGATCTTTTTCCCAGCGTGGATCTTCCCCCTGCTCTGTGCTTTCTGATGAGACGGCAAAGGAGACCAGAGAAGGAGGTGCTTCGGACTGCCCTCCTTCCCCTGGAGAAGCCACACACCCCTTTTCTGCCTGCAGCCTGCACCCTTCAGTCTTCTGCCTGTCAGAGCAATCAAGGATCACTTCCACCTGGGCCAGCCCCCCAGCTGCTACTCCACTCCCATGGATCACTCTCGGCTCTCTGCTGCTGGAGACCTGGAGTGTCTTGCTGGACCTCAGAGAAAGGTCTGCTTTCTCATCAGCAGGGATGGAATTTATGAGGACAGCCCCCTCATGCTGCAAGCACAGGTCTGGGTCAGGAGATTTTGGCTTTTTAGCTCTCAGGAGACCCACAGCAGGGCTGCTGGAGTCCTTGTGTCTGTCCTGTGGAAGTGACAGTTGTAGCTCCACCACAGTGCCCAGCCTCCCTGCTTCTGCCTTTTCTCTTGAGACAACCTCTTCTGTCAAGGATCCCTCTAGAGAGTCGAGCATTTGGGGAGCTGTTTGATAGCTGGGGCCTCCTTCTTCTTTTATACTCCAGGCACAATCGGAACCACTTCTTTGGTCCTCAGCTACAGGAGCTCCGCTCTTGGCCAGGGAGATGGAGAATTCTCTGTACTGGGTCTCTGTAGCTGGTCGAATCTGCAGGGTGGTACTTTCCACGTACCCCTCCTGTGTGAGATGCTCCAGGTTTTTGTTTTCAGTTTCAGAGACCACAGCCTCATTTATTTCACTGGATGGTCTGTGCACAGGAAAATAATTCCAGACAGTTAATTCAGAGCGTGTTGCACCTGCCAAAATTTTTTCCTGACATTTATGATGTCTAATACAGTACATGATACAATCAAAATATTTCCCCCAATGTCAGCTGCAAAATATTTGAAAACGAATTGCAACATCTTTGTCTGATTATGTAAAGAGCTTCTAAATAAACTTTTCTTTAAAGCACAACAAAAGTTCTTTGAAAGACTTTGAAACTTAAATCTATCCTAAATTCAACTTTAAAACAAGTTACAGGTTGTAATTGCATGGGGGTCCTTTTTCTGAAATTATTTGTATATTCCCAAATAACCATGTTTGCTCTAATGTGACAGTGCATTTCAATGTCTTGTTGAGTTTTAGTATAGACATGATAAAGTCACATAAACATATCTAGCAGCTTCAGATAAGTCTTTAATTACAGGTACTTCAAGTAATCCTTTTAGAGGCTTTCTTGAAAAGAATGAAATAGACGCTGTTTTTTAAGCTCTAACGAGAGTGTGTTTGGTAACAGGTGGACCCTGGCCCAGTTCTCTTGTGCAAAGAGAAATCCTTTCCATGCTGCATGAATCATTAAGTCATGGAGTATTTATAATCTGAGATTTCTTCTCTTCTATTGGAACTTGCATCTTGTAGCGTTTTTCCTTTTAGGATTTCTGAAGTCAAACTGTTCCTTTATTTCTCAGCTAAGAAGCCCAGAGCAGTTCAGCACAGTCCTTTGTTTGACCTTACTCATTCTCAGTAGGCTTTTTGCAAATTTTGGTTTTCAAGAACACACAGTGTCAGTTTAGGAGTTAAACAATTTCTTTTGAAAACTCTAAACCCTGAATGCTTTTAGAAGAGAAGCACCATTCACAGAACAGCTGTGGGAGATGCCTTCATTACTTACATTTGCAAGGGTTTTTTTTAAAGCAACAGCAGTAGCTATCTTTGCCCCTTTTCTGGTCCTTCAGAATGTACCCTACCTAATGCAGGGATTATCAATGGAAGCAGGGAGCTGCTCCTTCTATTCTACTCAAAGGAATTTACCTTAGAATTTCTGTGACAGTATAATTTCAGATCAATGGTCAAAATATTCACTCCTAACTTTGCTTTGGACTGTATTTGGCAAAACAAAACACAACAAAAACAGAGTAACAAACATAATGTAGCTTTCACTATGTAAAAAATTTGAAAAACTTCCTGGTACTATAGTATTTTTAAAAATTATACTACAGTGTTTTAAAACATGATGACAGCAAATTAGATCATTCATTTATAGGAAATGATAAGTACACTCCATCAAACTGCATTTGAGGGTGCCAAAAGGTCAGAGAGTTCTAGTCTAAGAAAGCCTTAGAATGGAAGTAGATTAAGTCACTTTGAATTATGTTAACAATCAGTTATGAAGCTAAGAACAGAGTAGGTTCAATTCACTCCAGCCTTATAAACTGGAATACAGGCAAATGGGCCAGATAAATGTTAACATTTCTTGGTAACTAGAGTAAAATGTATACTGCAGGTCCCCAGCTTAGGAACATCCAAGTTACGGACTTTCACAGAAATGAACGGAGTTCGTATTAGGAACATTCTTAGTTGGGAACAAATCTCAGGAGTAGCTCAGCTGTCTGCTGGACATTGTCACAGTTGTGCAGCTGTGTGCTTACTGTATAGTGCAATAGCGCACATAGTACAATGTTCAACCAGAGCCCAGGATGTTCTGAAGCAGGAGGAAAAGCAGTGGTGATAAGGAGAGCACTGCTAGGAAGTGCAAGGCAACGCACATTGTATATTTGTGTCAAAGATGTGTAACACTCACTTTGTGGGACTTACGATGAATCTGACTTACAAATGTTCTCCTGGAACAGAACTCATTTGTGAGTCGGGGACTTACTGTATACATAAATAAAAGCCATAAAAGCATGAGAGGAGAGAGATTAAAGCTTTAATCACCTCCTTTTCAGTCTCTACAGGCCCTCAATTATACAATTTATACATTATAATTATATAATTTATCTTTTTATATCTTATTGTTTTAATAAAATTTAGATAGTGAAGACTTGGTGTTAAAGGACTTTTAAGGATGGTATAACCAGCCATCTCTGGGCAATAACCCAGGAACAGTCAAACACTTGTCTTCCAGTGAAGACATGGTGTGAGAGACATATTTCATTTCTAGGAACAATGTTCAGATATCTACAGTGGTGGTGAAGGTGGTGGTTATGCTGATAATTATCTTTGAGCTGATTTTAACTTGGATTTTAACTTGGAATTCTATCTTGAATCCTATCAATTAATTATTTCATAAAAAAGTTAAAATACTTAAGAGAAAATAATAATAGGCATGATTCATTTACTTCTGAAGTTAAATATGTACCTAAGGTTCAACTGTAAACTTCTATGAATTTTCACTTGGGTGTCCCAAACCAGTGTGTTCCAGATAAATTGGCCTCAGTTGTAATGCTAAAGGCATTACAAAGGGAATAAATTGGAAAAGGTTGTTTCTCCATTTTTGAGCATGAGTGAACCTTTACAAAATGGAAGTCTTGAAATAAGTAATAGATTAATACGTGGTGACAGCAAACACTGGAACTAAATGTGGTAGTATTCCTCTTAGGTTCCTTTTAAAAGCAAATAGTAGCTTTATAAGTAAGTGGGATCCTAAAGCCTTAAACATGGAACTTCGTGAGTGAATATTTAGATGGGAGATTCTAAGACTATGTTAGATTTCCTCTATTGGCCAATGATTTTGGCAGTAGTGAGCTCATTTTTGAATAGAAATGGAATCATGCTGAAGGGTTATCAGGAATGACACTCTAAGCAGTATTTCTGCAAAGTTAAGGCCAGATTCAGAGGGCTTTAAGATTATGTGACATGTTCTCTGACACCTCCTGGAGGCCATACTCCAAGAAGCTAAGACATTCATGTCTGGATAAGATAATAGGGCTTCAAGTTAAAAAATCAGTATGGATTGTACTGTGATTTGTACCATAGCAATGTTGATGCTATTGTGTGTGTGTGTGTGTGTGTGTGTGAGTGTGCATACCCATGAATGTGTGATTGCCCTTGCTGTTATTTTCTTTTGTTTTATCTTTAAAAGTTATTTCTGCATTTTTAAAACAATAGTAGTAATTGGAGAGATGGAATTCACAAAGGATTTGCTTTGATAGTCCAAAATCTTCATTCTCAACATAAGCTTTTGTCTATGTTCAAATATTGGCTTTACTGGAAGTCCTGATAAGTAGAAATCCAACTGCTTTCAAGTTTTTTGTTGCCTTTGCTTTCCCTTCCTTAGGTATTTTCTTTCTAGAAAAATTATTATACAGTTCAATGGTTTCATTCTTAAACATTTTTAATTAATCTATGAATCTGGGAATTATAACTGAGTGATCCTGATTCATCAGAAAGTCCTGTTCTTGGAAAGCAGTATTAAATTATGCTCAATAATACAGAGCTTTCTAAGGAAGAAGTCTGTAATACCCAAGATTTTCAACAAATTACTTGCAAACACAGATTTTCAAGTTAATTCTCAATTAACCAGAAAGCTTGAAAAGAACTGCCACTGAGATGTTTCTGCTCCACTCCCCTGACCTCCTCTCCACGGATAACCCAGTTCCCTGGTAGATCACATGATATACATGTATTAGAGCTATCATTGTTCCCATTTAATTTCCAAAGCAAATCTATATTCCAGCAAATGTGTTGTACCTTTTGATGAGCATCTGGAGAGAGTCTGTGATGCTTTCCATGAGTTTGATGACTTCTGGGTAGGTGAGGTCCGCACACAGGTTGCCATTGATAGACACCACCTCATCCCCCTCACACAGCCCAGACCCTGAGGCTTTGCTCTGGCTTCGAATCTGAGTAAAGTAAAATAGGAAGCATAGTTACAATCATACACGTTGTAAAAATCATGCCACCATCTCTGAGAGACAGAGTTCGCCAATTAAAAAAATTAAGCACATTCATTTATTTAGTGTTTTGACAGATTTAGGATCTTCCTTGCATTTTTCTAATGTGTTAGAACCAAGCCTGCACAGGCACTGCTTCATGAACTTCTTTTATTAATGTATTAATTTTTTATGAGTACATGTTTGTGATGCATAGTGAATGCATTCATTGTGGGGAGTTGGTACATGCACAGAATGCATCTTAATCCTTTTTCCTTCCCTTTCCCCTCCATTTTCTCCCCTCTCCCTCCAATTTCTAAGTCATCTATTAACCTATGAGACCATCTTAACACTTGTCACCACCTCCCAAACACACCACACACATAGAATCTAGGCATCATGTCAACATTTAATTTATAACATTGTAAATAAAGAGGAGAAAAGGAAATTAAATCAATGTAAAAGAACTATAATGAAAGAAAGGATGGGAAAAGATACTAGGTGTTTAAATTGATCATACATGAAAAATAATTATCCCACATTGCAGAGTTTTATCTCAGTCAGAAAGGGACTGTTTCCATTAACATAAAATATAACAGCCCCTCCCATGGCCAAGGAAAGTGGAGAACTGCAACTGAAGAGGAAGATGCAGGACAGAGCACTGTTTGAAGAGAGAGCTGTCCAGATAAAGAGATGATGGGAACCATCCTAGTATCAGGACGAGATGATATAGCTGGTATACTAGGGAAAATGTCAACAAGAGAAAACTTTAATTGAAATCAATTATTTAAGGCATAGTACTAAGTACTAAGTAAAAAAGAAAGGAAAAAATGAGATTATTTTTGCAAAAAAAAAAAAAGATTACTTTGCAAATAATAGAAACAGCCCTGCTTTAAGGACTGCATCATATTCTAGCACAGAATGATATAGAAGAATAATAGGGTAAAAAACCTAGATGAGAACTTGGGACCCTAGAAGAGGAGAACATCAAAGAGTGGAATAATGGCAGAGGGTTCTCATTTGCTCTTCAGTGAGGAGGAACTGGAGGCTGATATCTGCAGAATTATGGTTATGGTAAGATTGTATGCTGATTATTCTCTATCTGCCCTTCTAAGGCCTATTCTTGACCCTCCCCTGTGGGGTGAGGGGCAATGGCCTCAAGAGATCACATTGGCTTCTAGTTGGGTTTGGTCAACAGGAAGTACCAGTAAATGGTCAAAGAGTAAGGGGAAGGAGAGATCAGGATGGTTCTCCATGCTCATTATGCTGGGTCATAGCCTGCTGACAGCTCTGTTCCTTGGTCTAAAGAGTCCTGCCTCCCTCCCCACTGCTTTAACTTTTGTTATGTTCCAATAGCACACAGTCCCTCCTTGCATCTTCAGGCCTAAGGGTAATAAGAACTTCCTGTTCTTGATCTCTGGGTTTCTGGGTACTTCATTACTATTTCTTGGTTCACTTAAATGTGATTTTAGTCCTTACATTACGTTATATTCCTTGAGCTTCCCACTTATGCCCTGCTGGGATCCTAAGTGATACTAATGTAGTTAGATTTCATTTTATAATGTCAGCTTCATACGTAGTTCTCAGTGAACCATGTATCACATGATCATACAACTTCAAACTTGAGAGCACTTTAAGATGCTAGCTCGGTATTTTCTACAAAGGGTAATCCCTCTGTGACTATTAAAATTAAGATTGAGTCCAGAGGCTTCAAAACTTGGTAAGCAGAATTTCTTGAAGAATGTTTTCATGTCAAGTTCAGATCTCATTGGTCATGAAACAGATTTCAATTTATCTCTGATAGCTTTTACACTAATCCCTGTTGAGATCTTACTGAGATTAATATATTAACTGATAGAAGTTTGAAGTTTACATATTCAGATACATTTACATCTTAAATAATAATCCTAAAAGTGAAAGAATACCTTTAGGAGCCAAAGCAATGGTACTATTAAAATTTGAAGTCAGTTAGTTTTGCTCTTGGAGTTTTGCTTTCCTTTTATTGCCATAAATTATAATTGATATAAGGTCTTCCCTTTTTCTGACAAATCAGCATCATTATTATTATTATTATTTTTTTGGTACTGAGGATCGAACTCAGGATCTTGAGCTTGTGAGTGAGGCAGCGGAACCACTGAGCTAAATCCCCAGCCCAGCATCACTGTTTTTGTGGGAAGAACATAACAACTTCTTCCCAAGGCCATAAGGAAGCAACAAAAGCAATGGAAGAGAATATTTGCCTGATTTTGAAATATTGATTGAATTGGCACGTACATTTGTTTTGTTTTGTTTTACATGAAATATTTAGAAGATCACAAGATAATTGTTAATAAGCCAAGGATAAAATTACATCCAATCATGGACATTCAGATTAGAATTATACTTATTTTTCACATTTTATTCTTTGAAATTTATCAAATAAAATTAGACGAGTAACAAAGCATATTTTTGAGGCATAAAAACCTTCATTTGATGGAGTCCTTCATTTGATAGAGTCAAATCTCCTAGAATCCAAACAGAAAATTCATTCTTTGGAGAACCAGAGGTTTTCTATTCATGAGAACAAAAGTGTCCTATATTCTGTGCCCCCTAGGGGCCGATTTTAGGTGAGGTTTCTTTTGTCATCAATAAGCTATTTCAGTTTTAAGCAGCTTCATCGGTTTGCAAAGCAGGATGAAAAGCTGATTCCTGGAAATTAATACATCCTCAGCTTAACAGAATGTCTGTCATCCAAACGTGTTGTGTGATGGGAAATGTGCAGTTCATCATCGTGCTTGTCAAGAGGAGCTTCTAATGGTATCTGAATAAGCCAGAGCAACACAGTGGAGTATCTCAGTCCTGCAGAGCATACATTCTGAGGGCAGCACTCAGAATCCACTGCTGTGGTGGTGTTCTGCTGACTTTTTTCAGTTGTCTGAACACAGGAAATAGTATCTCATGAGCCATATTAAGTATGGTGATATTTTCCTTGACACCAAAGTGTTTCTGAAAAACTAACCCTCCTCCGTTTTCCATGGAACTATTTACTCAAATGAAAAGGACATAATAGGGACTCTTATGCCTAAACCCATACCCTGCAATGACCAACTTCACCAATACAGCTCTGTTCATAGGTACATCATGACAGATAAACATGCAGTAATAAACAGATTTTTCCTTTTTCCCTTCCTTCCTTTTTTCCTTCCACTCTCCTCTCCTTTCCTTTCCCTCACTTTCTGAGACAGGTTCTCCTTATGTGTCCCAAGCTGGTCTCAAATTCTTGTATGTATGCCTCAGCCTCCCAAGTGCTGTAGCTTTCTAAAATGTAAAATGGGGCTAAGGCATCATCTGTCTAGATGATGAGTGAGCATTGGGCATGATGTGTGCAAAGTTCTATGATGTGCATACAGCTCAGACAGCTGCTCATGAAGGGACTAGTGAATAAATGTATTGGTTTCCTGTATGCACGCGCACACACACACACACACACACACGCGTGCGCGCATGCACATACATGCATTTACCCACAGACACAATGACACACAAGAAACATGCCCAGGGAAAGGAAAAGCTGTAAAAAATATTAGCGCTTGGTCTATAAGATATTTGAAAACAGCTACATTTATTTTCTAGGTGTGTGTGTGTGTGTGTGTGTGTGTGTGTGTGTGTGGTGGTAGAGACCGAATTTAGGACCTCTACCACTGATCTACATCCCAAGCCCTGCCAATTTCATTTTTATTCAGGTATTTGGAATTATCTTATCAAAATATTTTATCTCATAAGGCAATATTTTATCTTTCTTTTCTTCTGGAAGTACAAACTTCATAACTGAAAATAACGGAAGAAAATGAGCTTGTTTTATGCCTTTTGGCACAAATAATACAAATAAATATTAGTAGATTGTGCTTACTAAGAATTTACTATTAAGTTTTTTACATGTGGTATGACTTATTCCTACAAAACCTTAGAAGACTCTATGTACTTCCACTTGTTCGTGTTTGTATGGTTCTGCCATCACATTCATCTTATATGTCAGACAACTAAGAATCAGACAAATGAGTACTTTGCCTAAAATCACACAGCTGGGACCAGAACTAAACTCCCAGGAATCGGACACCAGAGCTTGTGTCTTTAATTACTGTACAAATCACCTCCCTGATCAACGTTCTAAATTCTCTACCATAAACTCTAGGGTGAGAAGAGAGGAGGAGGAAAGAGTAGCATCACAATTGGTAGAGGAGTGGAGTGCAGTTGGAAAGGAAACAGTAAAGATCATAAGTTTGCCTGGTTACTCCACAAGCCAGTGGTTGGGAAAGGCAGGTTTGGTTTGGTCTTATTATTTATTTTTTATTATCCTAGTTATATATATAAAATATTCTTTAAAAATTGGAAACTAAGGGCCAGGGATTTAGCTAAGTGATGCCACCACCTGCCTCAGAAGCGGAAGGTCCCGAATTTGATCTCCAGTACCAAAAAAAAAAAAAAAAGGAAACTAGCCAGTGATCAATGTGTCTCAAATTCAAAATTAAGAAATATTATCTTCTTTGAAAAAAGAAATATTATCTTCTACAAGCTATGGTATGATAGAATATAGCTATATGGGCAGCGAGATTCCTCCAGTGATGCCATTCCGCACCTATTGCATCAGACCATGAATGAATAGCTATCTGTAAAATACTGTATTCCCTTTCAGTGTCTCTCAAATTCATCACATTACATAACCAAGAGATACTGATAATGTAAAGAGTTACCAAATACTATGTTTCATTACTTGTCACTCTCTTTACTCTATGCTGGGAAAGACTTGTTTTACAGCAACCAGATGAAATGGAGAGGTAAGACATCTCTGGGAAATTTAACAACATTATTTGCATGTCATAGAATAAATTGAGAAAAATTCCAGCTATTCTATTTAGTTTTATTAATAATTCCTTGGCAACATGAGAAGAATTAACTGAGAGCAAGTTTCAGAATTGACTTCTCATAAAATT